TACATATGAACATGCACACATATACATATATTAAGATAGTTAAGATAGTTCTTCAAATTGTATATAAAGACGTGAAAATTCKAAATAAAATCAGACTAAAATAGTTCTCGTAGAATGAAATAGTTCTCACAGAACAAGACTTGGCTAATTATTTCCCATCACCAGTGGTAAGGAATATTTGACAAAGCTTGTCTTTTGTTTCATGGTATAATATCATTGACTGATTACTGAGCCAGTTATCACCCATTGCGTTGCGTATTTGCTTGATCAWTTTGAAATAATACGCATATACTTCATCGTTTCCATTTATAGCAGAAACAGTAGRGAACGTAGAATCGTGGCCCATGTCAGCTGAAACGACCTATCTTATGGGCGCGCAATATAAGTGAACAGTGAAAAACGCTACTCCCTTCTCTCTTTGATGTAGCATGCCATGGACATTTAGAACGCGATTCTGTCTGTATATGCCATTGCCTTAAGGGTTTCACCGCCTAAATCCTTTAGAAGTTTAGCGGAGTGCCTCTGTACCTCATTTCATTCTGCTTTTATTCTTTTAGAGATTAGGAGGCTTCTGATTGAATCGAAAGGTCCAGAGGTGTCCAGGAATCATCCAAGGGCATATTCCTAATATTCTAGAGTTTTTTCGGTGTTTAATACTAGCAAATGGAAGGTAGTCTTTACGAATATGTACATATATGCGTGTTGCGCTTTGGGAAGGTTTCCAGGAGGAGCTGCCACCTAGATATGCACATCCAAGACTTTCTCTAATGTTTTCAGCAGAAAGGAAGTTAAGTGTATAGCCTTAAACTCTTTCTAGTAGGTTGGGTGTTTTTACCTGCCTTAGGCATGAAAACTACCCTTTAGCTAAGGCACGGAGAGAAAATGCGCATTTTGCAACATGGCTGGAATGATTTCATCCGTAAAGAGGAATATAAAAGGATTAAGTGATCCATCGTCCATTATATCTTATTCTCCGTAATAATGTATTCGAGAAACTTGAAGGCACTATTCTTTTCATAGCTAAGACTAACCTCGTCCTTACAACCAAGGAAGGGCACACTGACTAGGTATTCTAATCAATAATAATCATCAAAATCAAAAGGATAAGATACAAAATGCTAACACATCTTCGAATTGTATTTAATCTGTGTGTTGTATGAAATTAGGCATTATTTTTATAAACGTTGGAAGTGAGGAATATCATATTCGTATKAATCAAAATGCCCATTACTGTTAAGTGAAATCATATTACGTGCACCGCATTATGTTATTCTCAGATAATKCCTAATTACGCCTACAATATAGTCTACCTTATTCGTTGCTTAAGTGGAATGTTTTAGTACTTTAATAAAGTTTTAGTTCCACCTAAAATGTATATTCTCCTTAGGGGCACATCAACTGTTGTCATTCATTGAAAGCCTACTATATTAGTCTCACTCTACTAGACATTCCTATATCTGTGGTTTGGGTTCGCGTGTAAATGTTGTAATTCATTTACATATATACATATGTATATATATGTAAGTATATGTATTTAAGTTTCTAATTATTTAAATTAACTCTTCTACAAATGTTTGACAGATATTTCGTTTAAATCTTTATTATAAAGATCCTCTCTAAGAAAAATGACCTTTGAACCTCGAATTTCCCGATTAATGTTACAGATGTTGTTTTTAATTAAAAMCTTTTGAATTGTGTCCAAACATCTGTTGTACTAATTGAATGAAGCAACGATCATTAAATAAACTTTGTGACTGAAAAGTTCTGTGGTCCAGTAATAAAACGAATAGCCGTTATAACCTGAAACGGAATYGCTGAATAAATTTAGGAGTGGCCCTCCATAACTCGCAATATCAAGCCAATTTATTATCTTATTTGGGTATAAATTAAAATATTTATGCAGTTAATAATCAAAGACATGGCCCATATTTCCACTACCCAACTCTCGTATACAACTTATAACGATTTTAGTTATTCTAACAAGTTTAAATGTCGGTCAATGAGTTTATTTGTATATAAAACTGCTTCAAAATATGTTTTCAGGTATACCTGAGCAATGCCCAAATCAACTCAACCMCTCTGGCCCCAATATACTCCCAAAAGGATTTCCACATTTCAGGTTGGTCAAATATGTGATATTTTAATGAAACTAATTTTGAATTCCGATCTTCTAATTAACGTTTTCCACATCAAATCAATATATTATATTTTACCTCTTCGGTCAACACATATCTTATTATATTCGCGTTATATTTATTTTAATGTAATTATTTCTTCACGCAATCCTTATATGTGTACAATGATAACAGAATAACATTTCATATTTAAACTTTCAATGATTGTTCCTCCGGAATATCACTGCCTTCGGTGTTATGCTCCAAAAATGCCAAACTAGCTTCTTTGTCATTACATTGTGATTCAGTTAACTATTAAAAAAAAGAGAAAAAATTACTAGTTATATCGAATCTACAATGTTGACATACTTACTGTTATGACTTTATATCCCAAAGTTGACAATAATCGAATCTTTAGTCCTATTAATCCTATAGGAGACTTACTAAATCTCAACCTTTGTTCCTCTGGAATTAGCTCCATAAATACTCTTAGATTACTAGGTTCCTTATATGTCACTAGAACGCTGGGGATATTTATACCACTAATAGGGCAAACTAATTGAGCTGAAAGTACATTATGGTGCTCTACAATATTATTCTTCATATCTATCAAACTTTGGCGATTTGTAAGTAAATATGTTGGAGCTTTCGTATCGACAGCTATTTCCGTAAACCCTTTTATATTTTTCAACCGCCATTTCGGCTCTTCTATACTAATGGCTGACAAGAGCACCTGTAAGCGACTCTCGACTTTAGGTAAATCTCGTAGATCTTTTTTGTTAGTCAATCGTGCCTTTAGCTTCAAATTTAACGTTTCCTCAATAAGTTCGCGTGATTTGTGGCCTAATGTCCATAAAGATAAGCAGCTATCAACTAACTGATCGACATAGTTTTGGAATTCATTTTGGTCAACTTTGTTCAATAGATTTGACTCAATTAATTGCAGGTCAGATGGTGATAATTTGCAGTTAAGTTGTGCACAGCACCATAGAAATGTAGATATGTCTTTACATCGAACATTTTCATATTTCATATCAAACTTTCGCGAAGCAACTAGTCGATTTAAGCATTGTTTTATCAAAGAGTCAATTGAAATCCTATCGTCCCAAAGATTATCAGCAAAGTAAGCGAATAAATGAATGCAACCGCGTAATTGAAGCCTCTCAACTATATCTTGAGTACAGTAATTTTGAAGGTGCTCACAGACTTCCCTTGATTGAACCCTCTGGAATCGCATTGCTTTAATTAAAGTCACTAAGAGTGCATCATTTGCAATATCATCAAGTGAAAGCTTCAGCATTTCTTCTTTTAAACGATTATTATATGTATTGCTTTCTATACGTGTTGATGTTTTAAAAGCAGCATTGGCAATTATAATCAAGTCTAAAGTAGTTAATGTTGGAATATATGATTCTAAATGGTCATTTAGAAAATTTGAAAATGATAAAACTTTTGTAGCTCTACRAGTTTTGTCTAAACCCAAATAGAAACACATTTGGACAAATTTTTCTTTTGATGTATCTGGCGCTATTCCCATTGTTATTATATGTTTCATAGCCTCATTATAAAAATCTGTTCTCGTAATCCAGTTGGGCATGAGGTAAAGAAAAGCATATAATGTTCGTAGAATTGTGGCAAGATCCATGTTTGGAAGCAGCCTTATGGCAGTCGTATCCAACTCATTTAGTAATGTAGCATACTTATTTAAATCAGCACTAGGCCTGTAGTTGAATGCGTAGACTATTAATGCCGGAAGTTGATCTGGAGATATTCGAGTCAATTCTCTTTGCAAGTAACGTGTATCACTTATTGGAAAATAATCAGCATACTTGATTACTGTTGGTACAATTGGAGCATCTTTTTGTAGTTCTAACGCTATATGCTTTGCAAATCGTGTAAACAATGTACCGGTTTCATCAGATGTTTCATTTAATATATTTCGTACTGTAAAAGAAGCTAGCCTTTGAATCGCAAAATGAAACTGCGTTTTTTCCAATCTTCTAGAAACAGATCGGTTTCCTAAACGTAGAAATATGTTTATCATGATTRTTAAATGTTTTATTTCCTATAAATATATAACACTTATTTCTGTTTTTATATAATTCAACGAAAGGTTTACAATTGAATGACCACATGTTATAGATCAGCTGTTGCAAAKGGCAACGCAACAACTGCGTTTGTGGATTTGCTTGCAGTTGCCAATAACAATATTTGGTAAATGTTCAGGAGAGCGGCTTTCCGAAAACGTGCTCCAATTTTCACGGGAAATGTCTTAAAATTCATGTTTTTAATTCCTACTATAAACGGCATCACTATTCGTAATTCAATTGGGCACTAGTGATACAAGCAGTGATCGATTTCGAAATATCGATACTCTCGATATTCGAGACTGATGAAAATTAAAAACAATGAGATACATAATAGAAAAAATTTCGAGCGCTCGAAAATAAATAACCCCGGTCGGTCCAATACCCCTGTGTTTATAATCTTTTTCTTKCTGCAATAATAATTAATCATAAATTTTCCTATTATATATTTCTCATTTTTACCAAGACAGACTCGAATATTGCGAATATCGATATTTTAATGTCTTTATATTTTTCCAATTATTATTATTTTCCTATTATGTATTTCTCATTTTTACCAGTTCTCTTTCAGACTCGAATATTGAGAATATCGATATTTAAATTTATTTTTATATTTCCAATTATTATTATTTTTCTATTATTTATCTCATTTTTATCAATTCTAGTTCAGTCTCGAATATCGAGAGTATCGATATTTCGAAACCGATCACTGCTTGTATCACTAGTGCCCAACTGAATTTCGAACAGTGATGCCGTTTATAGCGTAAATATCGTGCAAAATCGTAATATTTTTTATTGTTTTTATTGCAAAACAAACATAAAAATAGATAACGCGCCATATATATTCGTAAATTAGAATTAAAAACACGAATTTTAAGACATTTCCCGTGAAAATTGGTGCAATTTTCGCTCTCCTGAACATTTACCTTMTAAATTAATTAAATTTCATTATATATATTTAAATACATTCATCTGATAACCGATTTTTTCAAACACATTTGTTTACTCATCAGCTGTTTCTTGTCTTGTTATTTGCGTGCGGTCGATCTGTGGGACACCTTTTTGTTTATTTGCTTGTGGTACTTTTCATTWTAATGGCTAAAAGAGCTGCCGGTTTGGTGATATTTCGTAAAATTGGCGAAAAGATTGAATATTTGTTGTTGCGCGCGTCTTACGGTGATTTTCATTGGAGTTCACCGAAAGGGCACGTCGATCCGGGCGAAGATGATTTTACGACAGCTTTGCGAGAGACCAAAGARGAGGCTGGGCAAGCGCTTATAATTCTTGAATAATAAGATTAAATTAACGTCCAATTTTTAACTTTTGCAATTACAGGTATTGCGAGGAAGACTTAATTATATTTAAGGATAAACCAAAGATATTGAATTACAATGTAAAGGGAAAATCGAAAGTGGTTATTTATTGGTTAGCGCAATTAAAAGACTCTAGCAAGGAACCAATATTATCTGATGAACATACTGAAATGAAATGGTTAACAAAAGACGCTGCAAAAGAAATTGTTGGCTATAAGGATAATCAGCAAATGATTGACGAATTCCACGAATWCATTCTTAGTTCTTCGTAAATGATTTTCATTAATTTCTTTTTGTTCCATACATATTTAGAAACATATAATGTATCGGAAAGTGGTTAATTGATATATTACTTATCTAACTTAATCCCGTTTTCTCAATATCTAGTTAATGTTATCCTTAACCGCTGGTGGCTAACAGGATGCTAGCTTTAACTGATAGAACCGTTTTTATTGATTTGTGGTTAGCTTATCTACAGATAATTYGATTATTGTGACAGACAATGAAAGAATAACCCTTAAAATATTGCAATCATTGCCTGTTCACCCGTAAGAATGACCCTAAAAATATTAAGTTCATTGCCTGTTCAATAAAATATTTCGATAGGTAAATCCTTGGAAATAATTAGGCAAACAGTGGTTTTAATTTACTTTAACTTTTATAGCCACCGAGTAATTTCAAACTAATAATATATCGTTTATCGGTCTATATAATTGTGCGATACTATTGACTTACTCAAGGGTTAAAAATATAAATACACAGAAATTCAAACACATTAAATTGACAAGTTATTTAGGTAATAAAAAAAAATCTGCAGACGATGGAAAATGGATCCTGTTGTTTATTGATTTTATTTGTGATTCTTAACATGAAGTTATAAGGAAATAAGTATTTAATGTGTTGAAAGTATTTTAAGATAAATATTTCCAAAATGCTTGGACAAGAAAATTTGGCYGCAAATTTCTGCGGTTTATTGGCGGCTCAAGGATTTAAAGGTAAAGCCCTTTTCTTCCCAATTTGAGAAGTTTGCTAAAMACAAATTTTATAGAAAAGGCAATTGAATGGCGTATACTTGGACAGGAGCGTGATGGTTCAATGCTTATATCATGGACTTTTGAGGATTTAAATACAAGCGTACGGGAAACTTGCATAGGTCATTTTGATGCAACTACTAAGACGTTTCGTATTCTGTTCCGATTTGTTAAAGAATGTCGGCAAATTATACAAGCCACTATTAATAGTAATAAAACTTTGTTAGTATATGTTGAGAAGAAAATGTTTCTTGTTGAAAACGAAGAATCTCGTCTCCGCTACCAAGCATATATTGTTCCGACATGTGTTGCAGATGAAGGTGCAACAGGTATTTCTTTATTGGAATCGCCAACACATCGGCAAGTAATGAGCCAGTTTCTGTGGAGGAACGAGAAGGAATATGAAATAAAAAGTATTCAAGAAAAATTTATACTGCTTATTCATGAGACTTGTAAGTATAAAATCGCTTAGGGTGCTGAACAATAACCTAAATTAACTTAAGCTTAAATAAATGTGTTATTATCAAGTAAAAGTTTGGGCATATTMCAATTGCTTCATTACAGCGTATTAATGAAGATAAAACGAAATTTCAAAATAAGTTTATTATTTATTTGTTAATGCTGTCGCGTTTTTATTTAACAGGTATAATGCAATTCGTTTGCAACTTRAAACAAATGGAAACAAATGGGGATACATCATCAGATGATAAATTGCATTTAGATGCAAGCATGCTTACTTCCGAAACGATTGCTAAACATTTCAGTTGGGCACAATGGGATTCAGATAATCAGGCATTATATTATATACATTTAAAGCCAAAGGCAAAAAGTTTGAGTCTAATGGATCGCGATGAAACCGAAAAAACTAAAGGAAATGAATTAAGTCCCACGCTATCAGCTTTTCAATTTAATGAAAAGTTGCCCACAGAGACAGTGGTAAGCTTTAAAATTTGTGAATATGTATGCTAAATATTATTTATATATATACCCACCAGTTAAACATTCCACTAAATWTGCCGAAATTACCACAAGGATCTTTTGACATTGAACTGATCTACGAGGACGACATTGTTCCATTGAGGGTTCATGACTCTTCATTAAATTTAATTATTTTGACTAATGGCGCCGGGATGTTATTTGTTTGCCATTATTATCTTTATCAACCAATACAACCAAAAAATGTAGACGACACACCAGCTGATGGTGCTGGCCCATCCCAGAAGGTAAATGTTCATTTCGCATATTCGGTAACACTTCTTCACCATGGCTGCGTAGTTCATTGCGTTATGCCGGGTGTACCGTGGGARAAGGCGCGTTTACTCAAGCCAACATTCGCCCTTCATGGTACCCATCATTTGCTAGTTTTTCAGCCGGATTTATTTGTACATTTATTAGATGTGGGATTGAGTCATGAGCCGTGCTGCCATATAGTGTGTCCTGCACATAATCGCAATCCGCTGACTCAACTTGTACCATGTCAAAAATGGGGATCATTAGCATATGATACTGCAACTTTGGACTTGGTTTCACTAAGTGTCCCACGTGGTCATTTGATTGAAGCTTTCCGTAATGACACATCGGTCGATAATCGTCTCAGTATTATTCATTATTTTCTACTGCATTCTAATGATATGGATGTCCTCGCAGAATTGCTTGGCATAATAATGGAAAGACCCCTGTCATTGGATACTGTAGCATTGCTTAAAGAAGTTTTGGTGGCGGGTAGTTATGCTGCCACACTACGCAATCTGCCACCGGATGCGGTATCATTTACACGATTTTTACCTCTTACGACTGCTGATTCAACACGACCAATTCAGGCGCGGGTAGCCGATATTAACGTAGGTTTGTCGCATGAAAGCCTATATAATACCACCATGATGTTGCTATCACCTCATCAACGTTTATCTCCTTATCACTCGGATATTTGGACCCGTTTATGGGAACATTTAAACGAAGCTGAACAAAAGGAGAGACACCGTTTCAATGCGGAGCAAGTGACCGAAAAGCTTATGTTTTCGTTATCATGCTATCAACCCGAAGCGCTATCGCGTTGCACAACACCATTGACYCCGAGCGGAAATATGGGAAATAGCTTCAACGATTTTTCTTTTTCCAATAAACGTAACTGCAGTGAAGTGTTACCCTTTATCGAAACGGAGACATGCACAGCAACAAAACAGGAACATGTTATATCAGTGGCAAGTATTTGGTGTGACTATATTTCATTAGAAACTATAATAATTTTCGATTGACTTGCAGAATATGCGTGAATTGAGCGTACATCTAGTTAAGCACTCCGTTAAACCCAATGCAGGGTTTCGTTGGCTGAAAGAGACATTTTTCGAGCGCTCACAGGCTCCAGCCCATGTACATGCCGTTGTCACGCAGTATGTAAGCTCACAACTAGAATTATCGCGAGCGCTATGTTCCCTCGTTTGTCGCGCGGCGGGCCTTGATGCACGTAATGAGACGGCGCGCGGTTTCCAATTAATGTAATTATTATTTTAAAGAATTATTATTGTATGTTTAATTATAATACATTTATTATTTAGCGACCAAATGACCAACAGCCAACAGTATTCACTTTTCTTAATTTTGGAGCGTTATTGCTTGGCGGTGGACTCTATCGCTTTTCCATTGCCCCAGGGGTTTGCTTCCTTCTTCACCTATCTCGGATATCGCGCGTTGACTTTTGAAATGTTTTTGCAATACGTGGAGAATCACGTATTTGAATTGCAAATTGATKTCATGAAGACAATTATTAACGGTAAATTTTACTTGGGGTATTCATAAAAATTGCTTTATGATGCCATACTTTTATTAGATATCAATGACCTACCGGAGGGCGTTGAAAAGAAGCTATCCTTGCTCTCGACTCTACCGAAATCGCGTGCTCAGCGTTTATTAAGAAGTTGGTCACATCCAGAGAGTTTGATGATACGCGGTCGTGAACATGCAGCTAACATATTATCTGGACAGCCGGTACAACAGCGTGGSGGCAGCGCAGGTGTAAATGCTAACCCCCAGGGACGCACATCATTGAAAAGTGGTTAGTTGGCAAAAAAAGAAAAACTAAATTTAATTATATCTCCCATAACCAAATGAATGATTTGAAGTCAAGAAGGGCTTAGTCCAATTTAACAACAACAGTATGTAAAAGCTGCTTTTCTAATTATCTTAGTTGCTGTGACTACTTTTTTAATTTTTATTAGATTTAGCACCTTTTTTCACTAAACCCAGTGAATCGGATTTTATTTACTATTAAATTTATTAATAATTTTATTTCACTTATTTATTGGATAGACCCTACTATCGAGAAGGGAACTTCGTTATCATTATGTATAATACTTGCAACAATTCCTGCTGTTGTAACTATCGTTGGTACATTGTTTTTTGTTTACACACAATT